TAAAAATCTATAAAATTGGGGGAGGGGGGGGGGGGTTGGGGTTTACCTACACTAGAGCTCGTTTGACCTTGAAAATTAGTCGTTTTTGTCGTAGTAACCAATCGGCTCCATGATTAGGTCTTAACGGACATCTACGTAATTTTTTGGTAAAAATGATCTCGGAATTCTGGATGACCAAAAAAGATGGTGGATTATAGAACATGAAAAATGGCAAAATAGAGGGGGTTAATCTGCTCTCGGCTCGTCTCACATCTAAAATAGAGAGTTTTGACTGTGGTGACCGACCTGCTCCATAAATTAGGTCTTAACAAACGTCCGTGTAAATTTTTGGCATAAGTGATTTCGGAATTTCGAATGACCAAACAAGATAGTGGACTATAGCACACGAAAATTGATAAAATGCACGGTTTACATGCTCTGGGCTTGTTTGACCTTGTAAATGGACTTTTTTGGTCGTGGTAATCATTCGGCTCCATAGATAAGGTCTTAACAGACGTCCGTGTAAATTTTTAGCGAAATGATATCGGAATTGCTGATGACTAAAAAATATAGTGGACTATAGCACACGAAAATTGGTACTATCGGGAATTTACTTGCTCTGCTCTCATCTGACCTATAAAATGGGTCGTTTACCTACTCTAGGGCTCGTTTGATCTTGAAAATGGGTCGTTTTGGCCGTGGTGACCAACCGGCTCCATAGATAAGGTCTAAACAGACGGCTATGTAAATTTTTTAGCAAAAATGATCTCAAAATTTTGGATGAACAAAAAATATGGTGTACTATGCAAGGAACATCGGTAAAATAAGGGATTAACCTTGCCCTGGGGCTCGTTGACATTGAAAATGGGCCGTTTATGGGAATTGAGGAATTTTAATTATTCTATCGTGGAAATAAGTGCAGCAGCATCTCATAATTTATGGGGAAAAGTGTAGAAAGAGAAAATAAATTAGAAATTTTATCAAAAACACATAGGGTTTAGGTCTCATAGGGTTTACGCGGTAGACCTAATTATATTAGTTACAAATATCTCTTAAATTTGATGGAATTTGACTATATATCTCAAAATATTTAATACATCACGTCTCAATTTTAGATATATTGCGTACGTTCCGATATCTCACGTAAAGTGACGTGTTTAATCGATATATTGCGCAAAATAATATATACAAAAATATGAAAGAACAATAATTTTTGTAATTTTTCCAAATAATAAAAAATTATTTAAAAAAACATAATAAAATAAGTTGTGTATCATTAAATTTTAACGAAAGTCACTCCATTTAATTATGTCAATGTTCAATTTTGGTCTTCTTTTGTACGTCCACTTGAAAGAAAAAAAAATTATTTCCAATGTCTGCTCATGTTATAATGTCCCATTAAATCCAAATTCCACTAGACTTTTCAATGCTAAGGTTACTATATACACACTGTTTATTAATTTAATTCTATCAAAATTAGACATTTCAAAGTAGACGGCTAGCAAAAGGATAACAAATATCTTTGTCACTAGTCTTCTTTATTTAAGTATTATATTTTAGATAATTATCTAAAAGAAAATTTAGTTATTCTTTTTTAATCAATGTGTCTATTCCCTGAGGAGTTGAGTTTATCATTACTTTACTAGTCTTATATAAATCATCATATTGACGCTACAGCCTCTTAAGTTATTCACATAAATTGAGATTTATTTTTGGCAAATAATAGTCATAGTAAGAAATGCTTAAATGAAATTGAACGGATTATAATTTTATAGTTAATATTGTCAATTCTAAATAAAATGTTCAAAATGACGCAATAGTCTACTTATCTTATTCTGCAAATTAGCAGGTCAATTTCAATTATTCCAATAGATCATTTGGTTTGTTAATTGTGATGTACATTTATATACTTTTTTAACTCTCTGAAAATTTAGCCACCTTTGAGATATATAATAAGATTTTATCTCTATGAGCGAGGTAAAGGACAAATAAGTGGAATTTTACCTAATTAAAAAATCATTAAATAGTTAATAACTATTTCTTTTTCGAGATATTTAATTAAGAGTAAATTAGTAAAAATATTTTTTTCTTACTTAGAAGTGCTTAATTTTTTTTAAAAAAATAAATGTGTTTAAACAAGAAAGAAATCTTATTATGAAAAGGAAGAAGTACTTTTGAAAGTACTGAAATTTTAAAAAAAAGTGCTGAAGTTAAAAAAAAATTGTTAATGTGTTTGGCAAATAAGTGCTGATAAACAACTTTTTTAAATCAAAATGTCTGAAATACCCTTAAAAGTTGTTAACATAATAAAAGTAAATTAATTTATATTTTACAGCCATAAATAATTATATTTTGCTATCATTCACATATTTCTTTCTCATCACAAATTATTTATAAGAGGAATATAAACTTATTATAGATTTTAAAGATATATAATTTGAATAGATCAAAGAACGATTTAAGATTTATTTTAGTTTGATCCATAGGTAATAATAATTGTCTATCACTCACATATTTTTTTATTATCACAAATTATTTATAAGAGTAATATAAATTTTTATTTCACTTCAAATTGAAAGAACAGGAAGAAGTTCAGCAGCAATGCCAAACGTGAAAAGGGAAAAATGAAAGAAAGAGATGTTAGGGTTATGTGGGTAATTTGGAGATTGTATAAAATATTAAGTGTAAAAGGGTAAAAATGTAGTCAACTTAAAACAACTTATAAGCTAAAAAAAAAAACATCCTTACCCCAACTTTTAACTTTTGGCTTAAAATAAGTTTTTTTTAAACTTAAAATAAATTATTTTGAGTATTGCCAAACAACTAAATAAGTCAAAAATCAGCTTTTAAGTCGGTTCAATCAGCTTTTAAGCTGAGCCAAACAGGCTCTAATATTAATGTCTACCAAGTGATTTTCCAAAATATTATTTATTGGGACCTAAATATATAGTAAGTCACGTCTCAAAGTCAATTAATATCTATTTTATGATCTTTACTTTAAAGCTAGTAGGGTTTATTTTTCAAGAGATACTACTAGTCAATTTTATTAAAATTTTCTTCTATTTTTTTTTTTGTTGTAATAGTATTTAGGACGGAAAGCCATTTTTGTTCACTTTTCTAGTCTATTAAACTTCCCAATCAGAATTTTTTTTGGTTGTGTTACTTTTTAGAGTAAGAAAATGCTTCAAATTATATATAGATTCTGATTTGAAATTCATTTTGCAGTACAAGTTTATTTGGCTTCATTTTGCGTCAAAAATAAGACTATTTTACAGATTATTAATAATTATCCAATATTTTTTTTTGTAAACATTAAAGTCAAAAAATTACTTTTAATAATAATTATTAGAGTGAGCGAGAGTTTTACATTGATTGATCAATGTTTATATGAACTTGCTCAATCCTTCTTTCATGAGTTACTCTTTCCGTCCGGTATTATTTGTTATAGTTTTTATATTTAGAGTCAAACTATAAAAATTTTGAGTAACATTTTTAACATGTATTTTTTAATCATATTAATATGTAAAAAATTGCAATTTATAGTACTTTTCATATAGTTTTAGAATATCTAATTTTTTTGTTTAAAATATCAAATTAATGTGATCTAATTTACCTTTGAAAATTAGTCAATTGACTTTCATAAGCGCAACATGACAAATATTTCGGGAAGGAAGGAGTAATTTTTAGAATTGAATTAGAGCCAAGTGTGATATCTTTACGATAGTAAAATTAAAAAATTAAATTTCAAATCAATAAAGCGACTAAAGTATATATGTGTTAGCTGCTTAGAAAATATCAGTGCTGGGCATAAACATCGGAAAATCGAAATACCGAATCGAATCGAATTATTTTGGTATTTCGATTTTGGTTTTTTAATTTTTGATTCGGTATTCGGTATACGTTTTTGTATTTTTTGGTATTTTGGTTCGATTTCTGTATGTAATTTTGTACTATTCGGTATTCCGATTTATCGGAATATATTATATTATAATATGTATTTATATTATATTAATTATTAATGTTAAATAATAAATATTATAATTTAAAATAAAATATTTAAAAATAGAAAACACTTCTTTGATGTAATTAATTTAGCCTATTAAGCTAAAAAATCAAACAAAAAAATTTATAAATTTTTAATGTCGGAAATAACTCATCGTTACCACGCTTTTTGTTTTTTTATCTCAAAAACCCGCCTTTTTAATGATAGCGTATATTATTTGATGTCCCTGTCAACTTGTCACACACACACACATTCTCAGAAATTGTCTAATAATATCTTATTGTATTTTATCGTGATCTATATATTCGATGAATCTTCACTAGGTATTTTATCGTGATCTATATATTTTTCAATGAATTATTTGTCATGATTTTTATATTTAATATCAAATTATAAAAACTTTAATTAATATTTTAAGATATATTTTTTAATAATATTAATATGCAAAAAATTGTAACTTATAATACTTTTCATACAGTTTTTGGATATTTAAATTTTTTATTTGAAATATCAAATTAATGTGATCTAATTTACCTTTAAAAATTAGATAAATTGACTTTCGATAAGCATAACATGACAAACATTTCGAGACGGAAGAAGTAATTTTTAGAATTGAATTAGAGCCAAGTATGATATCTTTACTATAGTAAAATTACAAAATTAAATTTCAAATCAATAAAGCGACTAAACTATATATGTGTTAGCTGCTTAGAAAATACTTTCTCAGTCTAATTTTACTCGAAAAAATTATTATTTTTTATATATATTAAAAGTAATAAATAAAAATAAAATTATATTTTAAAAATAAATAACAAGTAAAAATAAATAGAAATTCAAACTTGTAATGTCGGAAATAACTCATCGTTACCACGCTTTTTGTTTTTTATCTCAATAACCCGCCTTTTTAATGATAACGTACATTATTTGATGTCCTTTTCAACTTGTCTCACACACACACATTCTCAGAAATTGTCTAATAATATCTATATATTCGATGAATCTTCACTAGGTATGTATACTCTTTTTTTTTTCATGTTAGAGATGATGTCATCCTCACATTACAGTAGTTGTTCATTTTTGCTCATCGCCTTCAGTTTACTCCTAATCTGCGAAGCACAAAACAGAGGTCTTCTTCCTGAAGAAGAAAGTAATATCTCCTCTGTTTAAGCCATATAAATTAGAGTTCGAATATTTTTGTTGTAAAAGTAGTAATTTTATGGTTTTGCAGAGAATGCTCTGAGAGAAATAGGAGAAGAGTTAGGGAAAAGTGATTGGGATTTTGATGTGAATCCTTGTGATGAGAGCACAAGTTGGAGTACACCAGGAACAGACGCTTTGTCAGTGTACGTGAGCAATGTAACCTGCAATTGTGATACCCCTGATGGTTATTGTCATGTACAAAGCATGTAAGCCTTTCTTCCTCGCCTTTTTTTTTTTTATATATATATCTTCAGACTCCGCAATTTCCTTTCGTTGTTTTTTTTTTTAAAGTTAAAAAGGTGTGAATTAAGAAAGACAACTTTCACATGTAGTAAATAAAAAATTCATATTTGTATGCTATAGCAAAGTTTGCATAATTGCGCTCCATAACAAACATAGAAATTGTATAATTCGCTATACATATACAGTTGAAACAAATTGTATAAAACGAAGTGTATAAAACAAGAAAGAAAAAGACACTTGGGCAGAGAACTGTATAAAAACGAAGTCTATAAAACGAATTGTATTATTATAAGTGTATAGAACGATTATATACAATTTGAATTTGTATAAAATGAGAAAGAGAGAAAGACTAAAGAGACTTGACAAGGAATATACAATTGAATCGAATTGTATAAAACGAGAAAGAGAGAAATTAGATACAATTTGAAAATTGTATAAAACGAGAAAGAGAAAAAGGCAAAAGAAACTGGGCAGGAGAGTATTTTTATTATATAATTATAAGTGTATAGGACGAAAATATATGTACTTGCATGTGTATATACAATTTTCTCACGCTATATACAAACAGAAACACAATTTATACATTTCGCTTCTGTTTGTATAAGTGAGAAAGGCGAGGGTGACGAGCGAGATTTGGGAGAGTGGCGAGCGAGATCTGGAAGAAGGGAGAGAGGGGAACAAAAATATATGTATTTGTACAATTTTTTCTGCTTTATACAATTAGAAACAATTTTTATACACTTATGTTTGTATAAAAAGTGAGGAAGCGAGCGAGAGATTGGAGAAGAGTGGCGAGCGAGATATTTGGGAGAGAGGCGCGTGATAATTTTTTGCAAATGTTTGCTATGAAGCACAATTAAATCAAACCCTAGCTACTCAATTTATTTTAGATTATTAGTTTGCTATTATATACAATTTTCCCTTATAAAAGGGAAAAGGGTCAAAAAAATTCCTTTCTAACTATGTTTTATTGGTTTACTTTGTTCTCCCGTTAAAAATAAGTTATTTTTATCTTTGCTGTTAATAAGCTTAATAAATATATCCTTCCTTAGATACAAAGCCTCAAATTAATTAAAATTAAATTTCAATTTTACTTAAATTACTCAATTTTAATCCGACTCAATTCACTAGAAAAAAAATGAAATTTGTCTATGGTTGAATATGATACCATAAATATGAACTAGAGAGTATTTTTAATTAATTTTTTTCTTATTCTTAATATTGCACGAGGACCAAGTTTCTTTTTTTTTCCCAATTTTTTTTTGATATTTTCGTGCTCGTGATTATAAATAGGAGGCTTTGCCTTAATTTTTTACCATCGAAAATAAGCAAATATTTTCTCCTCTCTTATGCATCATTTTTCAAAAGGAAAAAGGTAAAAATGTCCAGTATGATCTTATAGTTTTTTGACTTATTAATAAAAAAAAACATGTTAGAATTTTCACAAAAAATTATCCGATTTGACATGGAATTTAAGAAAATAAAGAAAAATTTTGAATCTTGTGGTCCTCGAATACATAAAATTATCATTTAATCTTATAGCTTTAATCATGCCACGTGTGAAAAGTTAAAATTAAAACATTATCATAAAAGAAGAGCCAGGCAGTCCACAAATATTTGCACCTTGTGGTATTTTCATTAACTATTTGCACCTTGTGGGAAAATTACTAAGGAAGTCCTCAAATAGTTGGTTAGGATTTTTTTGCTTATACAAAATGCATTGTTATTTAGGATGTGGTTGGTCTGTTGGGAATGTTTTCTAGGAAAATAAAAACTTTGTTTTTAGTTATTTTCTTCTGTTTGATAGTTAAGTAAATAATGTTATCTTAAAAATAGTTATATATAATCTAGACAAATATTATCAAAGACAGGACAGAGCAGGAGTGAAGATGAATTGTGTTGGAGGATGAAGAGTACATATATAATGTCATTGTAAAACTTGTTTTCCCGACTTCCATAGTGAAAGTCTAATTTTCAAGGAGCTTGTTTTGCAATGTTCTTAAAAAATTTGACCGATGGAACATTAAGAGATTAATAAACATTTTTCAGACAATATTTTCCTCGTAACACATCTTTTTATAGTTTTGATAGTTTTTCCTATTATGTTACAGATTACTCAAAGGACAAGATCTTGCTGGTGTTCTTCCTCCATCCCTGGCGAAGTTACCAAATCTCACCATAATGTACCGTTAACTCACTTGAATCTATGAGTTCAAAACATGTAGCTTTCTTTTTTTAAGATAAAATATCATTATGATAAAAAAAAAACATTTTCACTGTTTGACCTACAGTGATCTCTCATGCAACTATTTGAGTGGTACAATTCCCCCTGAATGGACATCGATGAAACTGGAAACCATGTAAGCGCTCTGCGCCTGAAATACTTTAGGCATTACATTACAAGGTTGCGCGAATTTAAACTATGATGGTTTTTCAGGTCTCTTATGCTGAATCAACTATCTGGACCAATTCCGAAGTACTTAGGAAACATGACTTCACTAGTTTATATGTATGTCCTTTTGTCTTTCACTTCACATGCAAAGGATGGTAGTCCTTAATTAGTTTAAGATTTATTGAGCTGAACTGCAAAATTTCAGGAGATTGGAAAGTAACATGTTTAATGGAACTGTTCCAAAAGAACTCGGAGGCATGGTTAATCTACAGATTCTGTAAGGCCTTCCGGACTATACTCGTGACTTTAGATGAAAATTTTTGTGTTTTGACAATATTTTGACAAGCTAGTTGCTTTTTTGCTTTGTGCAGCATTCTTAGTTTTAATAATCTCACAGGTCAGCTACCAGAGGAGCTCAATAAACTCACTAATTTGAAAGAACTGTAAGTACCTCCGGATATACGTTTCCTCTAGGTCATATTGCATTTCCTGTTTATCTGAGTTCTTCCCATTTTTGACATCTATGCAGTAGGCTGAGAGGTAACAACTTCACAGGAAAACTTCCTAACTTAGAGAGTTTTAAAACCCTTCAAAGATTGTAAGCATATTCAAACCATTTGATGCATATAAAAGTGTTCAATAGCTAGATTTATGCAAGTTGTTTCAGACTTTATGCTTGGTTAACAGAGAGATTCAAGCTTCTGGTTTTGAAGGACCTATAGCTCCAATCATTTCTGTCTCAACTCAAATGATCGAATTGTGAGTTGTTCTCTTATGTGCTGTTCTCTTCTGTTTGGTTAGAATTTAAACTTTAATAATATGTCTGTACAGGAGAATCACTGATTTGACTGGAGGTGCTTCAGAATTTCCACAGCTTGGGAATATGACACGCCTAACTAGATTGTATGTAGTTCACGTGAAGTATGGATTTGTGCATTAATAGTTCGACTAACTTCCCCAGTCAATGGGAAGTGTTTTTATTTTCTTTTTCTGAAACTAATGTGATTGCAGGATATTGAGGAATTGCAATTTATCTGGGAAGATTCCTCCTTACATAACTAAGATGCCTAAATTAAAACTTCTGTAAGTCTGCTGTCTACCTTCACTCTGATATTTGTTCTTTCTTTCTTTCTTGATATACTTTTAGTTCTCGTTTCCCTTCATAGCTGTATTTAACAGAAGTCTTGCATGCCATCAATACGAGCCTTTTTATTGTTGTCTTGTGAATTCTGTTAATTTACAACCTCAGGAGACAGACAAAGGGTTCACAGGAATTGTGTATCTATCATGTGTTAGCATTTTTATAGGCCTTTTATGAAGACGGTATGCAGGTGAACTTCTCCCCAAGAGGAGATTCTAGGTTTGGTGGATGAATTGGAATCTTGTTTTAGAAAAATGTTACTTCATCACTTTTTGCAAATACTGTAAATTTACATGATGTTATTGTTATTAGCTTAGAATCTCAAGATATTAAAACGTCATTTGCATCCTTTTCCTTGTTTCTAGCTTAATTATGGCTTTCCTTTGCTGCAGAGATCTAAGTTTCAACAAGTTTGAAGGACAGATCCCAAATCTTGAGAGTCTAAAGAAGTTGGACTTCTTGTAAGTGACATAACATAAGGATGAAACATGTGATACTCAAATTCTTATTTTAACTAGCTTGCCAATTTGTCGACATTATATCCTCAACAATGCTAAGTTCTTTTTTCTAACAGAAAATACAATGAATACAATTTAAACCCTTGACATGGATGTGCAAGTTGCTGAGGGTTCAAAGCATGTTTGTTATCAAAGAAACTTAGTGTCTGACATTTTATAGACTTACTTGACCTTGATTCATTTATGTAATTTTGTTGTTCAAATTGATATCTCCAGTTGAATTGAAGTTGTTCTTTTCTAGGTACCTGGTAGGAAATCGACTTACTGGGCCAATTCCAGGTTGGGTCAAAAGTCGAAATTCCAAACAGTAAGTTTGCTACCTTTGATTAGCATGGTTTTGCATATAAATCAACTCATGCCTATAAGAATGCCAACTTACTTTTTTCTCAAGAACTGAAAGATTCCATAAGCATATATATAGACATAAATGTCAATGTTGCAGGAACATAAAGAGTTCCTTTTTATGAATCACTTGCTTGCTGACTCTGCCATGCACTCGGCGACTTGTATTTCTTTGTTGAGATGCATTAGTGAACAAAAAGAGAAAGAGTATCCTCCATATATCATGCTCTCTATGCACTACTTTATCGTCATAGAGTTCTGGAAAACGCTATATTAAGATGAGTTATGTATGCATTCCAAAGTCACTTTTGAGTTCTGATAACTTCTTAAGTTGATTACAGTGGATGAACTCAACTTCCTGACTTTCTACTCTCTGAATCAAGAAGTAGATGAGAGATATAAAAGAGCCTGAAAACATTAGACCTATAAATTTTGGAAAACTAATTTAATTTGGATTATAAAAATGTTACTACCCACCGGTATTATAACTAACATTTGCATCCTGCAATGGAAGCACAAGTTATCTAACTCCCTTCATTACATTGATAGTATTGGAAAAACACTGACAAATCTTATTTGCAGCATGATAGACCTGTCTTACAACAACTTCAGTGAGAGCTCTGAGCCTATTTGTCAGGAAACTCTGTATGAGTCTTTAACCTTATACCTTTTTCACACTCATTTTTCGTATGTTCTTAGTCATTTCTAAGCTCAATTTCGTTGTTTTTCTCAGGAACTTATTCAGAAGCTATAATGGAACGAAAAATTCGTAAGTCATTAACTTGTCTTATAGGACACTAGATTTATCATGATTAACCGTTTCATGCCTTCTGAGTTCTAACTCTTCCTTCCAATTTATTGCAGAGAATTTGGGAAATGTGTGCCAAGATGTTCAAAGAGTAAGTTTACACCTTCTACTAGGCTCTGATTGTTGTTAATATAATATGTATATTTTCGCAAGTTTGATGGAGGCGAATGTTAAATCATGTGTCTTCTGCTTGTATTTTGCATGAAAATCATTATATCCATTGAAACTTTCTCCGCTTTAATTATATACAGAATGGTATTCGGTGCACATAAATTGTGGTGGAAAGAGTGTGACTATTGGGGACACTGTTTACGAAGCAGATAGAGATTCAGCAGGTGCTGCAAAATTTACTTCCTCGAAAGAGAGCTGGGGAGCCAGCAACAGTGGATACTTCTGGGATAAGATTATAACAGCAAAAGACTACCTGGCGAATAATATATCTGCCATTAAGGGAAATGACTCTGAACTGTACACGACAGCTCGGCTCTCAGCTTTATCTCTGACTTACTATGGACGTTGTTTAGCAAATGGAAACTACACCGTGACACTGCACTTTGCAGAGATTGTTATAAGAGACAATCGATCTTTCCAAAGTCTTGGAAAACGGATATTTGATGTCTATATTCAGGTCAATTAACATTCATCCGAGTATTAAGTCAAGGTTTAGGTGCTGTTTGCTCACAATTTAACTGAATGCAGGGTGAGAGGAAGCTCAAAGATTTTGATATTAGAACTGATGCTGGAGGAGTTGATAAACCTTTCACGATAAAGTTCAATGCAACTGTAGCAGACAGCACTCTAGAAGTGCGCTTTCAGTATGCTGGGAAAGGAACAGCTGCTCTCCCTAGAAGAGGAAGCTATGGCCCTTTAGTTTCTGCCATCTCTTTTGAAGCTAGTAATTATACTATATCTCTTTTTACAAAGGACACCCTTGAACACACTGAACGATTAATTCTATTACTTTATTCTTAGAGAGCCAAAGGATAGACTTGAATTATTTGCTCAATTACTTAATATTGAAGACAAACAAACAAATGCAAGTGCATTTTATACTCTTACTCATATTTTTTCTGTATCATAGATTTCAAGCCCCCTCCTGATTACAAAAAGTTGGTTCCCATCATAGCTGGATCAGTGGTGTCCTTATTAATTCTCATTTTGACAATATCATTTGTTGCTTGGAAGAGACACAGAAACAAGATAGCAAAGGAAGAAGGTGATGCTACTACACTCCAGCAGCCTATTTGAACATACATATAATCTGTTCTCCGCGATTTCTTGAAAAAGTTGTTATCAAAATGAAAATAATGTATTTTCAAGAAAAGAAGCATTTACGGCTAAATGCATTTCATATTACATAATTTCCATTTCATATGAAGTCATTTCCCTTTTTAAATGTTCTCTTTTCCTATAAATATACAGAATCAAGAGGACTAGATTCAATGACTGGTGTGTTTACCATCAGACAAATCAAAGCTGCCACAAACAATTTTGACGCTGCAAATAAAATCGGGGAAGGTGGTTTTGGATCTGTCTACAAGGTTTATCCCAATCTTACATCTATCAAGCTTTCTACTTTATTATGTCAGCTATAACAGCTGGACATAAATAATATGTATAAACAGCCTTAATCAACATGTTTTTTTTTCTTGTGTTAATAAACAGGGTACACTATCAGATGGCGCAGTTATTGCTGTTAAGCAGCTTTCATCCAAATCGAAACAAGGGAAGCGTGAGTTTGTAAATGAGATAGGTATGATCTCTAGTTTACACCACCCAAATCTTGTACAACTATATGGATGTTGTGCTGAACGGAATCACCTGCTACTGGTGTATGAGTACATGGAGAACAATAGCCTGGCTCGTGCTTTATTTGGTAATTTATCATCCTTCTTCATTGTTTCAGTTATAAGTCGAGCAGAAAATAAGCTAAAAGTGAAACAAGTTAAAAGATTGCTCCTTGTAATTACTGAAAGAGTTTAAAATGAGAAGTCAATATATGTTTCATGTTTCTAAACGTGTGTGTTTACGAGAAGGTATGCATAGATTTTTACTTCACATTAAAATACAGGTCCAGAAGAACATCGGCTCAAAATAGACTGGCCAACCAGGCAAAAGATCTGTATTGGGATAGCAAAAGGCTTATCTTTCCTACATGAAGAATCGTCATTGAAAATTGTCCATAGAGACATCAAAGCAACGAATGTACTTCTTGACAAGAAACTAAATCCGAAAATCTCAGACTTTGGTCTGGCCAGACTTGATGATGATGATAACAACACACACATTACCACTAGAGTTGCCGGAACCATGTAAACTTTCTGACAAGTCTCTCATTCATTTTTGTGTTCTTTAAAGAGGAAATATATCGAGTATTGATAGCCACAGTATGGCTAATTCTACATGTCATAATATTCTTCAATGACACCAAAACAGAAAAGGAATACAAATTGATCATCTCTATATCTTTGACCTGCTTTTCTCCATGAAGTTAAGGTTCTCACTTTGTTCTGCAGAGGATATATGGCCCCTGAATATGCACTATGGGGCTACTTGACCTACAAAGCAGATGTCTACAGTTTTGGAGTTCTTGCATTAGAGATTGCTGCTGGGAAAAGCAACATGACATATCGCCCCAATGAGAAATTTGTCTGCCTCCTAGATTGGGTAAGGACTCCTAATCCTTGATAACTGAATAGCAAGCGCGATCATTCATTCTGTCTTCAACACATTGTGGCTTGCATTTTATTGTATATTCAGGCTCTTGTTCTACAAAGACAAGGAAAACTGAAGGAAGTAGTAGATGCAACATTGGGCAGTGATTTGAACGAGGACGAGGCTCTAAGGATGTTAAATGTAGCTTTGCTATGTACCAGTCCATCTCCAGCACTTAGGCCAACCATGTCTGCTGTAGTCAAAATTCTTGAAAATCATCTTGACCTCCCTGAGTTTACAATGGAATCAAGATTCTATGATGATTATGATCTTTTCAACTTTCAAGGGTTAAGAGACAAGTATGAAGATACAAACGAAAGCCAACCACTCACACATTCATCAAATACCATTACAACAAGAGATTGCTCTTACACTACCTCTACATCAGCTTAAATGTTCGCGAGACAATATTTTCTTGGCGGTTTATCAAACATAAGATATTTGATTACACCCAAAAACAGTTTTTGTTGATTATTGAATCACAAAAATACAAATACACATTATGAATCTCTCAATCAATTGAAAAAATATATTTTCAATCAGATATCTCTTTGGGTACTTCCTCTTCTGCTTGAAACTCATTTTGTTAATGTAGTATTTTTGAATGACAATAATTTGACTAGGATAGAGGATACTTTCTTTCACACAAGCGATTATCAAAATAAAAATTGAAATGGATCACACAGTCAATTTATTTAGTTTATAAAAATAAAAATTTAGAATAGAAAAGAAGATTACAAGATAAATAATCTAACTCTCTATTATTCACGAATAAAATAAAAATTCAAATAATTAAAATTATCGATCGAGATGCATAATCAATTTTGTCAGAATGTAACTTTAGTTTATGAAGCATCTCCAATCAAGAATCCTAGCAAATTGACTTGTAAATAAGCAGCAAAAATGTTCACTAACACGTGCATGTAATGAAGGCTTAATTTATTCCTCATTTCAAATTTACAAGTTCAACAAGCTGGCTCTAGTCACACATCTATAGTAAACCACGTATTTTTTAGCTATTTTGTTAGTAATAAGATATTTTTGAGCTATTTGATTAGTTATAAGATATTTTTTTAGCTACTTGATTAATGATAAGGATATTTTAAGTAATAGAAGATAAATTAACTTATTTAGGTCAAATAGTTCAAAAATATTTTAGACATTTTTCTTCAAGAAAAATCTATTCAAATTAAAGTAATCTATATTACTTTTTATTTTAAATGAATAGTGGTGAGAAATCCAACAAGTCAAGTCATTTAATGAGAGTTATAAAATTGAGATGATATTTATAAAATTATTTTCAAATATAAAAAAATCTTATATTATAAATTTATTTCTTTAATTTTCATGAAACTTATAATCTTAAAAGATACATCTAAATCTTCGCACCAAATATCTTTTCTTTTTTTTTTATTAGAAATATCATTGTCAAATTAACATCATATATAACTAGCTAATGTGAACCAAAGCCATGTCGTATAATATTGCATTTATCATTTCTTCTTTTTATGATGATTTGTACTACTACTATATTAATGTCTTGTCGACACAACTTGCTTTCGATTCACACTCCTCCTTCCTATTTCGTTTTAATTCGTATTTTCTTCCGTTTTATATTTCATTATTTTTCTATAAATAGTTAATTTATAATATTTGTTATTTATAAAATTAATACATAAATTATCATATTTTTTTTTCTTGTGAGCTATTAGCCTCGAAAATATACATTTGACCAACTTAGAAAAACTAAGTAAATGATTCATGTGCATTGATCAAATTAATTAATTAAAATTAATTTATTTATACTAATCATAAAAAACTTGAGTTGAAAAATTAAAAACAAGGGTAGAATAGTAATCTTGCTTAGTTTCTTAATGCACGTGAAATCTTTCTCCTAAGTGGTGACCTATAAATAGGAACGGAGGGAATATATGATACTCACGCCATTTCAAATCTGAATTATTAAGATACTTTTTATTTTTAAATTAACTTAATTTTGTTTAATTTTCAAAATTATTTTAAAATATTATTTTAATTTTATCCGTCATTAGTTACTCTTAAAATTAGTTATTAATTAACGTATAGTTATTTTAATCATAAATTTAATGATAATTAGGAAGTGTAAAAATGAAAAGTATGTCTAATGTATGTCTTAATATTCTTTTGCTAGAATGTGTGAAACGCCTCAATAATTTAATTAATTTGAAATGGAAGATAGTGTTTTGAAAAAAAATCATAATTAAACTAGGAGAGGTACAAATATTTATTTTTATTTTTTCAAGCTGTATTCGAATTCACATTGAAGTTCCCAATAAAATTTAGATCTCACATATTCGAGAAGGGAGAATTACGCTTTTAACAAAATTTTCTCGTAATAAGACTCGAATTGATTTAAGAATAAAAAAGTTTCATCAATGCAACCAACCACCCTGGTAAGAGGTAAGAGATTAATATCTATTTGTAACAATTGTATATTCAGTTGCAAGTTTTGCAGGTTGGAGCATTAATGAAAATGTTAGCATTATTACATAATTTCAGTATTTCTTCTTTTCTGCTTATCTTAGTCCTCTGTTCTCTAGTACAAATCATTGAAGCACAAAGTTACAGTCGTCTTCTTCCTCAACAAGAAAGTAATCTTTCTCATTCTTGGCATATAAAGTTTGAATCTTTACTGAAAAAATCCATTTTTTTATGAGTTCTTGTTGCAACCCCAGATGAAGATATCCTGGTTTCCATTGAAGCTGATAACTCTTTTTTTGAAAAACTGTATACTACTTTTATGGTTTTGCAGAGAATGCTCTAAAAGAAATAGCGGAGCAGTTGGGTAAAAAGGACTGGGATTTTGATTTGAATCCTTGTAACGGCAATACAAATTGGACTACACCAAAAATTGACAAGATATCGATGTATGTCAACAATGTAACCTGCAATTGCGCTACCCCTGATGGCTTCTGTCATGTACAAAGCATGTGAGACTTCACCCTTATGGATTTTGGTTCTTCTTATTTGCCCCCTATTTCTTCATTATGGATGTTTTTGGTATTAGGGGAATGTTTTCTAAGTCACCTTCAATTTCTTGAAGTATTCTTTCCAAAGAATATATATTTTCTACTAAGATCAAGAGGGTTACTCCGATGGTAAGCATCCTCCACTCTCAACCCTCGAGTCACCGGGGGAACAAAACAGGTAGGAGTTCTAGGGAGAGTAATACATTATTATCAACTTCTGATCAAAAAAACATATCAGGAAAACATTGAACACTTGATATGAGTAGCATAGGCATCTACTTTTATACCCCTAAACACTATAAAATGATCCCCAATGTAAAAAGAATTTTTTTTCCCACGAAAATGAACTCTATTTACCCGCTATAACAGTAAAGTCGACTTATAATATAACTATTTTTTTTGTCACATAACACACCATATATGTTCCTTAGCTTCCTCTATGTCAAAACATTGTTTAGGGCAAATGAGAGCATATCATTGCAATAAAAAATGTGTTTCCTAATGATGAGAATATTGAAACCATTCAGTATATTAGTCATGGGATATGGTTTCTACATGTCTAGATTAAATGGTAAAATGAAAGTTGAGATGACTAAGAAACTCCTCAAAAGCATAAAGCTAGCTGGCTTTCTCTTTGTCTAATGTCTATAAAGAAAGAAATAAGGACTTATTTGGTTGAGACTTGTTTCCTCATATAAATAACTTTATTTTATGGTTAGTCAGTATGTTTAATTAAGCCAATTGTTCTGGAACCAGTTTGATTAGCACATGGGGTCCAAAATTTTTGAATTAATAACAACCTTTCATTCAGATTTGGATGATGTAAAGCAAACAGGATTTCTTCTAATATCTTCTTATAATGTTGACAGATTACTCAAAGGACAAGATCTTGCAGGTGTTCTCCCTCCCTCTCTGGTCAAGTTACCTTATCTCAAGACAATGTACTGCATAATTGACTTGGAGTTATATTTTCAAACTCTTTACCAAATAATCATTATGATTATCCTTTGCCTGAGAAATATATTGTTCAACATCTGTCCTGCAGAGACGTCGCGCTCAACTATTTGAGTGGTACTATTCCCCCTGAATGGGCATCTATCAAACTGGAATTTATGTGAGCTGCAGTTCAATTGCACTTAATACTTTAATTTAGACATTACATAAAAAGGTACCTTTAACTTGAACTATCCTATAATTCATGATTTTCAGGTCTGTTATGGTGAATCAACTCTCTGGGCCAATTCCTAAATACTTGGGAAACATGACTACACTACGTTATATGTATGTTCTCTTGGATTTCACCACACCTATGAGGATAAGTAGTCCTTATTTTAACATTTATTGAGCTGGACTGCAAAACTTTCAGGAGTTTGGAGAATAACATGTTTAATGGAACTGTTCCAAAAGAACTCGGAAACATGGTTAATCTACAGAGTCTGTAAGGCCTTCCTAACTAGCCTCCTTTAGATATATTGAAAGGTTTTAGAATATCTTGACAAGTCAGTTGCTTTTTGCTCTGTGCAGCACTCTTAGTTTTAATAATCTCACAGGTAAGTTGCCCAAGGAAGTCAATAAACTCACAAAATTAACAGAACTGTGAGTAACTCTGAATATACTTATGATAGAATGTCCTCTAGGTCCTATTGCGTTCCTGTTTTTCTGAATTCTCCTTCTTTCCTTTTGGCATCAATGCAGTAGGCTGAGCGGTAACAACTTCACTGGAATACTTCCTAGTTTTGAGAGTTTGAAAAACCTTCAGAAATTGTGAGCATTTTCACACCATTGATGTGTAAAACCTACTAATTTCTAGTTAAATTTAAATTATATCAGACTTCATGCTTGGTTAACAGAGAGATTCAAGCTTCGGGTTTTGAAGCACCTGTACCACCAAGCATTTCTGTCTTGACTGAAATGAAGGAATTGTGAGTTGTTCTCTAGGTTGCGTACTTTCTTTAGTTGCTTATTATGGTGTCCCCTTTTATTTGGTTGGGATTTTATATTAATATGATGTCTTTACAGAAGAATCAGTGACTTGACTGGAAGTGCTTCAGAATTTCCACCGCTTGAGAACATGACAGGCCTAACAAGATTGTAAGTAATTCCATTACTTTCCATAGTTTTTGAAAGTGCTCTCTTTCCTGAAACTAATTTGTGACCGCAGGATGTTGAGGAGCTGCAACTTATCTGGGAAGATTCCTTCTTACATAGATAATATGCATCAATTGAAAAAATTCTGTTAGTTTTCCACCTACCTATACTCTGATTTGTTTTCTTCCTATTTGATATCCTTTTCTTTCTCCCTTCCATACACAACTGCTTTAACAAAATCATGCATGCCATGTATGCAAGCCTTCTCTTATATGGTAGCGAATTCTGCTCAATGTTTTTATACGAGGAAACAGAAGGAGGGGTTATTGAAATGGAGTCTTAATTAAATACGAACATCATTGTAGTTCTATTTCAGATGATACAGCACTTCTAGAGTAACTCCAACATTTGTGACCCTTTAATTGCACATGTTTATGCATGGTTTATACTATGAATATGCTTTCACTGATTGACCGTCTTCTTTCAGTCTAAAAAAACAATGGAAATTTTTTGTTCACAACATGGTTTTGTTAGCATTTAAGCTCCCTCTCACGGGGCATTCCCAGCCAAAATTCTTTCATTACTATAGGTCTCAAGTTGGTAAAGTATTGTTTCTGGATTGAATATGGTTTTCTTTTGGGGCAGAGATCTAAGCTTCAACAGACTTGAAGGACAGATCCCGGATCTGGAGAGCCAGGAAAGACTGCAGCTCTTGTAAGTGACAAACTTATCATACTCTAAATTCTTCTTTTAGCTTGCCTGAATATATGCCAGCTGTAAATTCAAAGCCAACTTCCTCTCCTTAATTGAAACACGTATGATAAATTTAAAACCGAGACTTGGATGCCAACGTGCTGAGTTTTAAAACATGTCAAAACGATCCAAAATAAGAATGATTATGTTCAAAATACATATGATAAATTTAAACCTGAGACTTGGATGCCAATGTGCCGAGTCTTCAAACACGTTTATTGCAAAGAAATTTTAGTTTCTGACATTTCATAGGTTCTTTAGAGTTTGATTCATTGATTTTGATGTTTCTTGTTCAAATGGATATCTGTTGAATTGATGATTTTGCTTTACAAGGTACCTGACAAGCAATAGACTTACTGGACCAATTCATGATTGGATCAAAAGTAGAAATTCCAAGTAGTAAGTTTATTACTTTTGATTAGCATGTTTTGCTTATAACCTACTCATGCCAGTGAGAATGCTAGATTCTCTTTATCTCAAGAACTTAAGATTCTAAAGGCATATAGCCCATAAATGCCAATTTTTCATACACACCTCTAAAAGAGTTTCTTTTTGTGCAACACACTTGTTGATTTTTCTATGCACCATTTGCAGTGTCATAGATCTTTCTTACAACAACTTCAACGAAAGCTCTGTGCCAACTACTTGTCGCGAAACCCTGTATATTTTCTTCCCACTCATTTTTGTCAATTGGACACCAGCTGTTCTTATCTCTAAGCTACATTTCCTTCTTCTTATCAGAAACTTGTTCAAAAGCTATAACTCAACAAAAAAGTCGTAAGTTATTGAACTTGTCTTATAGGTCACTTGATGCATATTTTTCCTCTTTAGAAAATTATCAACTGGTTTATGCCTTCTGACTCTCTTTCCAACTTGATACAGAGAACTTGGGAAATGCTTGTCAAGTAATCCTTGTTCAAAGAGTAAGTTTATCCTTCTACAAGACTCTGATTCATTTTCTCTCTATCTAAGATTTAGAGCACTTGGAAATTTCGGTTCTTATTGTGTCTGTCATGTTGCATAGAGGCAATGCTAGATAATTTGTTTTAATTATATACAGATTGGTATTCAGTGCACATAAATTGTGGTGGCGAGAGTGTGACAATAGGGGACACCACTTATGAAGCAGATGAAGATTCCGCAGGTGCTGCAAAGTTTGTTTACTGGAGAGAGAGCTGGGGATCCAGCAACACCGGGGACTTCTGGGATCGTCCCATAGCATTGAATGAGTACAAGGCAACTAATGTATCTTCAATTAAGGGACAGAACTCTGAACTATACACGACAGCTCGACTCTCAGCTTTATCTCTAACTTACTATGGACGCTGTTTAGCAAATGGAAAATACACCGTGACACTGCACTTTGCAGAGATTGTTATAAGAGATAACCGATCTTTCCAGAGTCTCGGAAAACGGATGTTTGATGTCTATATTCAGGTCAATTAAATATTAATCTGAGTATTGAATCCAGGTTTAGGTGCTCTTTGCTAACAGTCAAACTGGATGCAGGGTGAGAGGAAGCTCAAAGATTTTGACATTAGAACTGCTGCTGGAGGAGTTGATGAATCTTGGACAAGAAAGTTCAATGCATCTGTAGAAGATGGCATTCTAGAAGTGCGCTTTCAGTATGCTGGGAAAGGAACAACAGCTGTCCCTAGAAGAGGAAGCTATGGCCCTTTAGTTTCAGCCATTTCTTTTGAAGCTAGTAACACTACTATTACCCTTTGGTTCACTTATTTCTCTTTCATAGACTTTCTTAGACACACCGTGTACACTTTATTCTATTACCTTGTGACCTTTTACATGATGAAATTATGACACTGCTTCCACATGTTAATTACTCGCAGAGAGCCTAGAGAAAAGACTTCATCTTTTTCCTCAAAATACTTTAAAGATTAAAAGCATAAAAACAAATGTAAATGCATTTAACACTCTTCCTCTTCCTTTTTCTATATCATAGATTTCAAGCCCCCTTCAAATCACAAAAAGATGGCTCACATCATTGCTGGAGCAGTGGCGTCCTCACTAGTTCTCCTTTTGACAATATTTATTGTTGCTTGGAGGAGAAGCATAAACAGAATATCAAAGGAAGAAGGTGATGCTACAGTACCAGACTATTTTGTGTCTTACTTCTTAAATTGATAGAACTTACTGTATTATGTTTTCCATGATTTCCTGAAAAGTTCTTATCAAAATAAAATGATGATTTCGAAAACAAGAACATTATGGAGGTGCACAGTTCACATTAGTACATGATTTTCAATATTATATGGAGGTGTTGCACTTTTTAAATGTTTCCCCCCCTGCAAATCTACAGAATTAAGAGGACTAGATCTACTGACTGGTGTATTTACCATCAGACAAATCAAAGCTGCGACAAACAACTTTGATGTTGCAAATAAAATCGGGGAAGGTGGTTTTGGCTCTGTCTACAAGGTGCATCTCAATCTGATCACTCACAAGCTTTCTACTCACTCTCCACAAACCAATTACCTAGACCCTTTTTTGTTTAGCTACAACATCTAGAAATGGATTTTATGTATAGACAGCTATGACCTTTTTATATCTTCTTCTGTTTTCTTAATTAATAAATAGGGCACACTACTGGACGGTACAGTTATTGCTGTTAAGCAGCTTTCATCCAAATCAAAACAAGGAAACCGCGAGTTTGTAAATGAGATAGGTATGATCTCTGGTTTACAGCACCCAAATCTTGTCAAACTATATGGATGTTGTGCTGAAGGAAATCAACTTCTGTTGGTGTATGAATACTTGGAGAACAATAGCCTCGCCCTTGCTTTATTTGGTTAGTACTATCCTTGCTCATTGTTTTCAGTTACAACTTACAAGTCAAACAGAAAATCAGCTAAATGAAATAAAGATAAATATTGTTCTTTTGTAATTAATGAAAGAGTTCAAAATGAGAAGCCAATATATGATTGTATATGCGTGTGAAAAAGAGAAGGTATGCATAGATTCTTAGTTCTCACTAAAATGCAGGTTCAGACGAACACCGTCTCCAAATAGAGTGGCCAACTAGGCAAAATATCTGCATTGGGATAGCAAAAGGCTTAGCTTTCCTACACGAAGAATCGTCATTAAAAATTGTTCATAGGGATATGAAAGCAACAAATGTACTTCTTGACAAGAAACTAAACCCGAAGATCTCTGATTTTGGTCTGGCCAAACTTGATGATGAGGATAAAACACATATCAGCACTAGAATTGCTGGAACCATGTGAGTTTTGTGACAAGTTTTCTTGTTCATGTTTATGTTTTGTGTTCATTTAGTAAGAAATAGATATTATGGCACAGTAGAATTGACATTGCAGCATAAACTGATTGATGTACAGACGTATGTTGTTCTCATCCAATGCATCATATATACATTTATGATTGCTAGAACCCTTACATTCTCTCTTTCTTGCATTTTCGATATGTTATACAAGGTAACTAGCAATAGTTTACTGATGCTTAACCAAAAAGGGTGGTGAAGTTTCAAGGACTAGTACATAATGGCCTGGCTGCCCTTAAAGAAAGACTCATTTGAAAGCTTGATCATATTTCTGGTATTGATTGCATTACTTCAATTGAGTGATAGAAATGGTTTCTGGCCTAATCCTCTTTAAATCTTAAATCTTCCTACGAGCTTAACCTGTATCTCATCCCATTCAACCATTCTTCATATACTGAAATATCAGGCATGAAGTTGATGCCACATTTACAAATAATATATGCATGAATCTAAAGTTTCACTCTGTTCTGCAGAGGATATATGGCACCTGAATATGCACTATGGGGCTACTTAACCTACAAAGCAGATGTCTACAGCTTTGGAGTTGTTGCGTTAGAGATTGTTGCTGGGAAGAACAATATGAAATATCGCCCCAATGAGAAATTTGTTTGCCTTCTAGATTGGGTAACAAATCATTATCCCTGATATCAATATCTATGTTCCAAACTTTTGAACTAGTATATTTGCATTTTATTCAGGCCCTTGTCCTACAAAAGCATGGAAAACTGATGGAACTAGTGGATGAAACATTAAATTCAGATTTCAAGAAGGATGAGGCTCTAAGGATGATAAACGTAGCTCTGCTATGTACCAATCCATCTCCAGCACTTAGGCCAACCATGTCTGCAGTAGTCAGCATTCTTGAAGATCATCTTGACCTTCCTGAGTTTAACTTGGAATCAAGATCCCATGATGATGAGCTCAAGTTTCAAGGGCTAAGAGACAAGTATGACGAGATGCGCAGCTTGAGCGAAAGTCAAACACTTATTCATTCATCCAACACTACACGAAGAGACTGCTCTTCCACTACAGCTGAATCGTCTTAATTAAATTCAGTCAGATCAATATTGTGAAACAAAGAGTAACATGTTATTTTAGGACTATATATTTGATGTGAGTGTAATAGCCTATACAGATACTACTTTGGAGGAGACGCCATTCCAAGCAAATGGTAAACCTCTACTACTAATACTAATGTCTGGAAAACAGCCATGAAAACTGATATGAATAAGGAATTTGAACTTGTGAATTCATCCTCATAAATTGTAAATGTTAAAGCTAGGGTAAAGCAATTGTTAATTAGTATGTTAGTACTATATATATAGTCATTGATAATTTATTTATCTTTGCTATTAAATACTTGTGACACCCCAACTCAAGACATGAAGTCTCACATCGATAAAACTATAGAATAGATGGTGGATATATACATAAGCATGTTTTACCAACTAGTGATGTATTCTAAAGTCATGTGGGCCTAAGCCTTGGGTGAACAATATCACTAGCGGGTTGCGTGCTACAAATGGCATCAGAGTAACTCTTTTGTCAGTATCCAACAGGGCAAACCTCAATGCTGAATATTTAGGGTAAAAAATTCAGGGTAAATACTCAACATGGCAAATCTCATACAGTGGGGCAAACCTCACCGAGGATGTCGAGTCCATAGAGAGCAACTTATAAGGCAAGAAGTCTCATATCAGCCTCGATGAGTCCATTTAGAGGGGGTATATGTGATGCCCAACTTAGACAAGAAGTCTTAGTCCATCGGGGTATATATGTGATGCCCCAACTTAAAGACAAGAAGTTTCATATCGGCAAAATCATAGAAGATATATCCAACTTAAGACAAGAAGATATATGTTGGGTATATAAGTAAGTAGGTCTTACCAACTAGTAATGTGTTTTAAAGTCGTGCAAGCCTAGGCTCAGACTGAACAATATTTAGAGAACTTATATTTATTAAGAGTGATTTGATATAATTATCCCTATCCTTTATATTTCTTAAGCTCTGTATCAAGTAATAATGAACAACTATTATTGAATAAAGACAATATTATGACTTTGATTACTCTAATAGTTTTTGTAAATCTATAAATTAATCTATAGTACCGTAATTTAAGTGCGATTTGGACGAACCCAGTAATTTTTCTCTAAATCTTATATTTATACTGAAACATTGAATAAATATATGTGTATGTAAACTTGTGAACCCAATAAATATTTTTCGCGCTAAAAGTTATGGGTTGAAACCCCTCTATCAACTCTTTAAAGGAAATTTAGAACCCCCACCTCTAGTTTAATATGAGGGGATGATCCTTTTTGGAGCTACAGGCTACAAGTAGTTCTCCTTCATTTGATTTTGATGAAACTTAATATCTTAAAAATACTTGAAAAGTATGGATTCTGATATTAGTCTAAAGTTGGAAAGGAAAAATATGATTGATTAATCCTCCCAATTAACAGACAGAAATCTTGATTAGAGCATAATCCAACGCACAGCTCCAATTAGTTACTGACTGTTTTTTTTTACGTAAAAATATTAATGTCAAATTAACATCATATATTGTGAAGCAAAACCAAGTCGTATGATACATCATATATTGTACTACTATATTAATGTTCTTGTCTATATAACTTGCTTTTTCGTTTACCTTATCCCTTTCGTTTTCGTTTTAATTTACGTGATTGTAATTAAACTATTGAAGATGACATTTTTAAAAGAAATTTATAATCTAAAATGAGAGATATGTATATTTGTTTTGTTTTTCTATTTGATTTTTGGATCTGACATTGGAGGCCCAACTTAATTTTGATTACGCACTGGGGACATATTTGGAAAGACCAATTAATTAAATCCGAAGAGCACACAATTATGATCCATTTGAAGATGACACTTTCCAATATAATTTTCTTCATACACAGGACTCAAATTGATCATTGGATTCGTTGATCAAGTTTCTATGGAATTTAAAGAAAGAATTTAAGAAAATTCGGACATAATTACTTTATATAAAACACCACATTAGTTATGTTATTGCTTTGGGTGATTAGTAATTAAAAGAACACTTTTTTTTCTTATAAGGAGTGATAATATTTTCAAGGAATGTATCAAAAACTAAAACTAATAGTTTTCCAACGCTATTATTGATTGGGGCCAAACATAATTAATTTTTTTAAAGAAAAGTCTAAGTCTCAAGTCCACTGATGTCTATTTTATGATCTTAAATAAACTAATAGGGTTCATTGTTCAAGTAATAATAATAATACTAGTCAATTTTATTTAATTTTTTTTCTACCCTTTTTAATTATTATTAATAATTTTTCGAGACATAAATCATTTTTGTTTTCTAGTGCACTCAATTTCCAATCAGAGAATTACCACAAATCTTGGTTTGTGTTATTAATAAAAGGAACTAAGCTATATGTATTAATTAAAAATTTATTTCTTTTGTTATGATGCATAATCAATCAAAAAAAGTTATTATGAAAAGTTTTATTATTGTTATACTTGAAACAAAGAGCAACAGATTATAGTTTAGGACTACTTACGTTATGTGAGGCATAAAGCTTCCAGGAAGTGTTCAAAATACGTGTAATAGGCTATACAGATACTACTTTGGAAAACATCCACGAGTACTGATATGAATAAGGTAGGGTGAAGTAAGTGTTAGTATATAGTCATTGAGAAAGAGTGAGAGGCCCAAAACCTAATGTAATTAGGCAATGGATACAGTGAAATCAATCATCTGGTACAATCTTGATGCCCATCGACAATGTAGTAGAATGAAATCTTATACTGATATGTCAGACCAAAAGTTTTCTTATTCAAAACAAGATAAAAATCATGCTGAAGCCTCATTGCCTCCTTGACTTCATTGTCTAAGTACAGTAATCATCTGGGAAATATTCATGAATGGGAGAAGTTGAATTCAAATTTCATTGGTAATATTGTTGCTGTTAGATATGGGAGGAGTAGCTTCTGATGGCCCTGCGGTAGAATAGCTTTCAGATGGAGAAGGCTGAGAGAGTGCAGCCATGGCCTTAGTCAATGCAATCTCGTCTGTTGAACGCCGGACTGTTGAAGATGTGGTCTTGATTTTAGTTTTTCCTTCAATAACTTTCACTACCTCAGACGTGGTTGGCCTGAGAGTTGGTGATGGATTAGTGCACATCATCGCTAATTCCAGAATGGTTTTAGCTTCTGTCCAAGAATAATCTGTTCCAAGTTTTGGATCAACTAGATCCATCAAATTTCCCTGCTCTTGCAACACGTAAGCCTGACATCGATCAAATTAGAAAAGTCATTCAACTAAAAAGACAATGGCAACTGTTTATTAGGCATGTGCATCAGTGAATGAAATTGAAAACTTCTCTTCTGAAGCCTTACCGAATCAAGAAGGTAAACTGTCTGATCACTTGGCCTGCAACTAGTACTGTTTCTCCCGCTCACAATTTCAAGCGTAACAACCCCAAAGCTGTAAATGTCTGCTTTTGGTGTTAAGTAGCCGCGCATTGCATATTCTGGTGCCATATATCCCCTATAAAAATGAGAGAAGAAATACACTTATCTGAAAGAAAAAGCTTTAAGGTAAACAGGATGGAGAAGGATTAGCAGGATTATCAAATTACAATGTTCCAGCAATTCGTGTGATGACATGAGTATGTTCCCCTTCATTAAGCTTTGCGTATCCAAAATCAGTTATTTTTGCATTCAAGTCCTTGTCCAAGAGTATGTTTGTGGGCTTAATATCCCTGTGGATAATCTTCAATTTGGACTCTTCGTGCAAAAAAGTTAATCCTTTGGCTATCCCGAGGATAATTTTGACCCTTGTCGGCCAATTTAGTCTTGATTTAATCTCCTCATCTGGACCTGAAAAAGCAATGTAATTATGTCATTAACTACTTCAGATTTTCTTGTCAAAACATATGATCCTTGCTATCATTACCGAATAATGCATGTTCAAGAGAATTATTCTCCATGTATTCATAAATGAGTAGGAGCTCATTGTCTTCTGCACAGCATCCCATTAACTTCACAAGATTTGGATGTTGCAGAGCTGAAATCGTGCCAATTTCATTTACAAACTCACGTATTCCTTGCTTTGATTTTCCTGATAGCTGTTTAACTGCAATTGTAGTCCCATCAGGGAGAACGCCCTGTATTGATGAGAGACACCCCTATTATTTAGAATTGGCAACATGATAACTATGTAAGCAGGGACAGATAAAGTATATAAAATCCCTTCAGGAAAAAAAGCGCCAAGGACGTATCTATATGCTTATATATGCAGCAGCTCAATCCAGGGTCATGGGAATGATATAATGAATAAACAGAATACTAAAAGTCCAACAAAAACTAACCTTATAAACAGGTCCAAAACCTCCTTCACCTAATTTGTTCACAACATTGAAGTTCTGAGTAGCATCTTTTATTTGACGAAAGGTGTAAACTCCTCCCGGGAACAATTCTGTTGTTTTTAGTTCTGTTAGCATTTCACAAAAGAAGCAAACATAATTTTATTTTAGTGAGTTATACAAATTTATATTAAAATAAGAACCGAAACAAACCAAACTCCATATGTAATTGTGTCTAACCTTCCTTAGATGATCTTTTTCCGCCAAGATAACCCAATTTCCTTAGTAAAAGCAGAAGTAGAGCAAGAAAAGACAGTGATGATACTGCTATCACAGCCTTAAGTGCAGGAGACAGTTGGTGTTTTGGTGGTGGTTGTACTACTACCATCAAAGTATTGTTGTCTTAGAAAGGACACTGAAGAATATGAATGACAATACACCATATATATAAAATATACCTTTGATTACAGAAATAGCTGAAATTAGGGGACCATTGCTCTCCGGATACGAGCCATAACCAGACCAGTACAAGTGAATTTCAAGATGAGATGTTATAGAAGTATTATATTCCACAATTTTATCCCCGTCAGCATTTATTTCTGCTGTTTCTATATTGTAGTTCTTCCGTACATTCTTCCTCTGCAATGACAGCATTTCAAAGAACTACAAAGATGATACCATTACAATTCTATTTGGTATAACACAAGTCGTTCTCCATGAAAAATATTTTTCTCGAAAAAATGGTTTATGGTGTTTAGTTGTAGTGGAAAATATATTCCCTCTCTGTTTAAAAAAGAATGACCTAGTTTGACATAGAACGGAGTATAAGAAAAGAAAGAAGACTTTTTCAATTTTGTGGTTGTAAATTAAAGTTATGTCAAATGTATCTAAATTAAGAAAATGAGTTG